AAAAAAAAAAAAAAAAAAAAAAAGGAAAACCAAGACAGTTGGTGCCAGCAGATGGCATAGTGGTTAAGGCATTGGACTCCCACATGGCTGACTGCAGTTCGTGTCCCAGACCTAGAGGCTTAAAATTCATGCTGGGTGCGTGTGCGCACGTGTGTGTGTCCAAAATCCCAAGAGGAGAATGGAGGAAGAGAAGGGATTATGTCACGGTCACCCACCTGGGGGGTGCTTTCTTGCTTTCCATCTGTCTCCAGTGAGCACACATGCCCTATAGCAAAAATTCCCCACCCCCAGCAAAAAAAAAAAAACATAGAAAGGAAAGGAAAAGAAGAGCCAAGACAATCGTAAGGAAGGGTCCCAGCCGGGCCGGGCAGCCGTCGCGTGTCCTCTGTCACTAGGCATCATGCTGTGCTCAGGGAAGGGGTCGGCCCGTGCCTGTGTCCTCGGGCCCTGTGTGTCTAGTTTCTGCTTTTGAAAGACGGGGATCATGGCGCCTCCTCAGCTGCTGGGGACCAGACCAGGCACCCCTACAGTGCTTCAGCCCCAAGGGAGACAGGCCTGCCCCACTGGATCTGCCATTTGCCCCTGGCCCTTTGTCCCCAAGGACAAGAAGTATGCCAGTGACAAGTACAAAGACATCTACACGGAGCTGAGCATCGCCAAGGCCAAGGCCGACTGCGACATCAGCAGGTTGAAGGAGCAGCTGAAGGCGGCCACGGAGGCGCTGGGGGAGAAGCCCCCCGAGAACACCGCCGTGTCTGGATATGGTGAGGCCTTCACACCGTACCCGTGCGGTGCTCATAGCTTCGGGGGTTGGTTGTCCGCTGCCCCGTTACTTTGTTTAAACTTGTTTGTTCATATCACGAGTGACATGGGGTCTTAATACCATGATCTGGCTCCGGCCTGGCCAGCTCCTGGTCCTGGGCACTTGGGCATCTGTGACCCAAACCCATCAGGAGGCCGGGCAGGGGTGCGGCCTCATGAGCTGGCCAGAAATGCCTGTCTCACTCCAAGGGAGCCCACGTGCACAGAATACGCAGTATGACGCGGCCCAGTATTCGTTCTCTGTGTTTGGTGGGTGTTCTCCTTGTGAGAAAAGCAGCCGGGACAGAGGTGTTTGCCAGGTCTGGCCGCGGCCGCCTCTGCCCAGCCTGTCTGTTGCACACCACCCACCTGGCCTGCGCTGTGGGCCCAGGACCCGAGCCCCGGTCTCCACGTGGGCCCAACCGTACGCAGCCGCGCCCTGTGCTTGTGCCACCACGGCTGGGCCTGGGGTCTCCGAACTGTCCCAGTGTGGTGACAGGAAGTGGCGGGATCGGAGCAGTGAGCCGGCTGGGCTGTAGCAGAGTGGGGGTAGGGAGGAGGCCCAGGGGCCCAGGCCACAGCGAGTGGTCGTCGGCCGCTGGGAGCCCGGAGGGGTGGGTCCCCCCGGGCTCGGGTCGCCAAGGCCAAGGCCGACTGCGACATCAGCAGGTTGAAGGAGCAGCTGAAGGCGGCCACGGAGGCGCTGGGGGAGAAGCCCCCCGAGAACACCGCCGTGTCTGGATATGGTGAGGCCTTCACACCGTACCCGTGCGGTGCTCATAGCTTCGGGGGTTGGTTGTCCGCTGCCCCGTTACTTTGTTTAAACTTGTTTGTTCATATCACGAGTGACATGGGGTCTTAATACCATGATCTGGCTCCGGCCTGGCCAGCTCCTGGTCCTGGGCACTTGGGCATCTGTGACCCAAACCCATCAGGAGGCCGGGCAGGGGTGCGGCCTCATGAGCTGGCCAGAAATGCCTGTCTCACTCCAAGGGAGCCCACGTGCACAGAATACGCAGTATGACGCGGCCCAGTATTCGTTCTCTGTGTTTGGTGGGTGTTCTCCTTGTGAGAAAAGCAGCCGGGACAGAGGTGTTTGCCAGGTCTGGCCGCTGCCGCCTCTGCCCAGCCTGTCTGTTGCACACCATCAACCTGGCCTGCGCTGTGGGCCCAGGACCCGAGCCCCGGTCTCCACGTGGGCCCAACCGTACGCAGCCGCGCCCTGTGCTTGTGCCACCACGGCTGGGCCTGGGGTCTCCGAACTGTCCCAGTGTGGTGACAGGAAGTGGCGGGATCGGAGCAGTGAGCCGGCTGGGCTGTAGCAGAGTGGGGGTAGGGAGGAGGCCCAGGGGCCCAGGCCACAGCGAGTGGTCGTCGGCCGCTGGGAGCCCGGAGGTGTGTGTCCCCCTGGGCTCGGGCAGCGTGCGGGAAGCCCCGTGTGCACCGTGCGGGTCGGCCCAGCTCTGCTGGGTGATGGTGCCAGCTGGAAAGTCTGTCTGGTCCGCTACTCCCAGGGGCTTTCAGAAAAGCGTGCTAACGAGTCTGCTTGTCCCCTCAGATATCATGAAGTCTAAGAGCAACCCTGACTTCCTGAAGAAGGACAGGCCCTGTGTCCCCCGGCAGCTCAGGAACATCAGGTCCAAGGTGAGGCTGGGTGGAGCTCCACGGGGTACCGGAGGACGGGAGAGGAAAGGCGCCCGGCAGCTGGGCGTGGCCACTCCTGGTGGCTGCAGTGTCCCGCCGTCATGAAGCCACCTCCTGGCAGGGAGGGCAGGGCGTGCAGGGATGCAGCTGGCTGCCTGCCTAGCAGCCGGCCACACCCTGGACTATTCCTTGCATATTGGGCCCTCCCGCCCGCTGGCACTGCCCAGCTCCTCCGTGGCTGCGGTCCGTACCCGGCGCCCAGCGTCTGTCTGTGGGGGCTGGGGCAGCACGTTGCACCCAGGGTCGGTTGTGTGTGTCTCACTTTTGCTCTTTCCCGACAGTCCGTAATTGAGCAGGTCTCATGGGATAACTGAGGCGCCCGCTTCCCGGTCCCCTGTCACGTAGGTAAACCTCCTCTCACCCCGCCCCGCCGCGCGGGTTGGCTCTCTGCATGCACGCTCACCTCCGCGGCCGACGCCTGCACCGTCACTTTAATCCATCCTGCTGCAGCCGGCACACACAGGCCGACCGGGTTTCTTTAACTGTCTCAGGAGCTCATTGCCACTCTAACCTCTTCACACAGTTGCCCAGCTCGGTGGACAGGCCCCAGGGAGGTCCCAGAGCCAGGCGGGCAGGCTGCACACGGGGTGGTCTGTGCACTGAGCTGGCTCGCTCTGCCTTCTCCAGGGACACCCATCTTGTCCTCTCATGGGGGGGGGGTCCTTGACAGGCACCCCGACCCCTGACTAGCAGAGCCCATTGTTGCCAAGGACCCCGTCCACCTGGTGAAAAGGCCAACAGGAAGAGTCTCTGCGTGGGGACAGAGCCCTGCCCGCCCAGGCTCCAGGCCTCTTGCAGCCGCTGTGTACACTCAGTACTTGAGGAACGGATGACCCCTGGGCAGGATTGGGGACAGGTTCAGGAGGGCTAGTGACTGCCAGCAAGCCGGACCCAGCATCCACCGGACCTTTGTGTAAACAAAATGAAACAGAAGCTGCTGGCTGGCAGCCTCCCGAGGCCCTGCCCTAAAGAAATGGGTGGGTCCGAGCCCTGTGGAGAGCGTGTGGTCACCCCCAGCTCCGCTCCGCACTGGAAGCGCAGGGTGCAGGCAGCTGGGACACACCTCCCGGTGCGGCCTCGGCCAGCCAGGAACCGGCCGTCTGCAGCGCCCAGTCACTGATGCTCGAGTACGGCTTGGGCGTGAGTGGGAGTGTAGTGCGGGCTTTTTATTTACACGTGAGAAACAACTCAGCAGAAGCGTCTGGGCCCAGCTCGCGGTCTGCTCATCAGAGCTGCCTCCCCGGGGGCCACGTTCTTCCTGAAGGCTCTGAAGCCTGCTGTCAGGGTCTGGGCCTCTGGGCCATGCCACTTGGTGACAGTCTGGGCAGGCCTTCCAGGAAGCCACCCCGGCCATGTGCCAGAATCATTGCCACACGGATAGCCCGGGCTCCAGGGCCTGTGCAGAGGGACGTGCAGAAGGGTGGCCAGGCAGGGGCAGAGGGGACAGCTGTGAGCATCTGCGGGCAGGCTGTCAGGCCAGTCCTGCTCCCGGAGTGGGGCCGCAGCAGGTGGGCAGCAGCTCTGACGGCCCCCAGCATGGTATTTTCTTCTCTGTCCCTCCGCCATTGTTGATTGCTCGCTCTCTTTCTCCCGTGAGTCAAGAGACAGAACCCCCCCCCAAAGGATCTCGACATCATAGTTCACCTCCAAGCTCGGCCAGCCCCTGGTCACGGGCACGCATGTGCCCCGCACACTCGAGGTCTCTGGGTGCGAATTCGGAACCCTCTGTGGGGTCAGCTCACAGAGCGTCACGCCTTCCAGTCCCCCGTCCCAGCCTGATGTCTGGCGTGGCCGGGTCTCAGTGCAGGCAGGAGGCCTGGCAGGAGGGCGGACCCTGCAGGCATCCTCAGTGACACCGCACACGGCAGGCTGGGTGGGATCCTGGTCCCTGGCTGTGTTCTGACGATGCTCCCAGCCCCACAGGATGGGCCTGTGAAGTTGCTCAGAAGCCAGAGTTCTCGGCACTCTGGGGGTTGGTTTGTGTTTCATTTCCTTGAGAGGCACATGCACTCGCTGGTGAGAGAGAAAGGGAGAGTGAGCGAGCGCCCCCATGGGGCAGGGCCGCCGAAATCCCTTCTCCAGCTCTCCCTCGGGATTTTGCGCAAACGCACATGTTCAATGTGATTTTCAAGCCAAGTTCAGGACTGAAACCATGCAGTCGGCCCTGTGGGACGCAGCCACCCTAACCTGGCCCCCGGCCCCCGGCCCCCGGCCCCATGCACATCCTGGTGACTACAGACAGCCCCTCAATGGGCCTGCACACCACGGCCTGTCACAGGGCTCTCCGGGAGC